TGGAAGGTACAAAGCAAGGCAGATAACTAATTCCATTAGCGGTATGTTTCTGTTTGCCAAAGCAACGTGATGGCAGTATATTTCCACATTTTCAGCAAATTCCCTCCTTTGCCACCTGTATTTCTCCTTTCTTCCCTCCGTGTTTCTGGTTGTCCACCTCTGCTCCCTTCTAACTGCAACATCCCACAAAGAGACAGGAAAGAACAACCCATTTGACCATCCCTTCTCTGTCTCCCATTGCCCAGAATAAGGACGTTATCTCATGAAGCAATTATCCCATGGCATTTTTGTGATCCTTTTCCAAGAGAGTGACCTTTGTTATTGCACCAAAGGGGTTATACTTTGGTGATCTGCGGTTCCATTGTGCATTTGCAATTCCAGTTAGCTTTATGTAGAAATAAACCCTTTAAATGTCACATCTGTGGTAGTGTGCCAGCACAGTAGTGGATCCTGGCTCATTGCACAAGGTAAGTAACAGGATCATGGCATAGGGGACAGTTATCTTTATGAGGAGATGGCAGACTGGTGGTGAGTTTTGTACAGCATCTTGTGATAGGTGGTGGTTCTGCTTCAATTTGGGTTTGCCATCATTGTGCGATAAAGTCCTGAATAATAAGAAGCAACCAAATCACAAGTAACAATCCCATTATGTTACACTGAAAACACCGACGATTGTATTTGACCTTGTAACTGTTCAAGGTAACAAGTTGCTAAAGCTTGTCACTAGAAAATAGTTACTTCTTAGCTCTGCGTCGGACAAAATAAATTGAATTATGCTTATAGTGTTTGTACCCAAAATGTATTTGGCCACATTCTTTTCCAACCAATTGTCTTCCTTGTACCTGTAGAGATTTGCCCCCTCTCCCTTGTTTCTTCTCTCGGTGAGCTGCCTGCCATCATTTTTCTCCTCCTCCTCCTTTTCAGCTCTAAATATAGCCCCAAAAGCACACCAGCATTTCAGTACGACCACACCCAGCTCACACAGAGCAGGCAGAAACCTGTGTGACCAGGTATAGCAACATTGACGTTAATGGAAGACATGTTTCCGACTGTCTCTTTATTAGTGGTATTATTTTCAGCAAGTCTATTCTCTTATGAAACTGAAAAATTGCACACAAAGAGAATACTGTGATTTGCCCCAGTTTAATGTGGTTCACCAGCCTGGGCAGGGGACCATTGTTTTCTTCTTTCGTTAGATGTCTTGTAGCATGCTGTATTTTAAAAAATCTTCTATTGCTATTTTCATCCCTGTATTTATGCACTTGACATTTTCCCTTTGTGTGTGGATTGCACCAGCATACTTGTAATGACCTATATTTGAGAGAAAAAATATATATGACATTTTGCTTTTGTTAAACCTTTTGGTTATGTCCTATGTCTTTTATATTTTTGGCAACAATTATGTTTTTGACAACACTTTTGTCTGGACAATGTGTATCAGAGGAGTGTGGGTAAGAACTGAAGTTTTAGGGAGAAAATCTCATTGATCTGATGCAGGCCTCCTGCAAAGATCTGTTGGTGGGCTGCAAGATATTGATATATAGGAACAAAACAGAATTCTCTTACAATGCCAGGGTCGGTGATTTTTTTCCAGTTCCTTATTTACACAAACATTCAAAGTCTAGATCATAGAGTCATAGAATATAGAACTGGAAGAGACCACACAGGTCATCCAGTTCAACCCACTGCCATGCAGGAAAAGCACTATCAAAGCATCCCTGGCAGATGGCCATCCAAGCTTGTTTAAAAGCCTCCAAAGAAGCCACTCCCACTATAATCTGAGGCAGTGATTTCAACTGTTCAACAGCTCTTAGAGTCAGGAAGTTCATATTCTTTTTTTTGGAATATATATATATATATATATATATATATATATATATAGGGATAGGGGGTATTTTTGTTCTATAGGTAAAGTGGGAGAACAATAATATGATAGTAAAGTGGGAAGGATATATATATATATATATATATATATATATATATATATATATAGATGAGATAGAGATAGAGATAGAGATAGATGAGAGAGATAGAGAGATTTTGAAGATTGTCAGAATTCAGTTCTTGTGGGTTTTTTTCGGGCTATATGGCCATGTTCTAGAGGCATTTCTCCTGATGTTTCACCTGCATCTATGGCAAGCATTCTCAGAGGTGGATGCTTGCCATAGATGCAGGCGAAACGTCAGGAGAAATGCCTCTAGAACATGGCCATATAGCCCGAAAAACCCCACAAGAACTGAGTGATTCCAGCCATGAAAGCCTTCAACAATACATTGTCAGAATTTAATGAGGAAATAAATGAATATATAGTCATTGTGACTTCTGTCTAGTCTTTGTGGTTTTGTATATGTCTATGCAAAAGTGTTCTCTATTCAGGGTAGAAAAAAATCTTAATTACAAAATAAAATAAATCTGATCTTGTTTCTTCCTTAAGAAATAATATCTTTTACTATTTCTTTTATTTTCTTATTTTTTCATATTTCTCTAATTAGGACCAATCTGTATATCTAATCTGTATATCTAATTCCGAATTTTCCTTTACTAAAAGGTTAGTTTATCCATGTCTTTGATCTCTCTTATTTTCTGTTCATATTCTAATGTGCAAACTTGTATCAATCTTAACCTCAAAATAATTCATACTTTGCTGCCCAAAACAGATAATGTGCCACCTCCCTTCGTGAACCCTAGCATCCAGAACAGTGGCTTCTTTCATAAAGTATTCATTTCTTTCCACTAAATTATGTTTATATGTGTATCTCACATTCAAACGTGCCAATTATTATTTGTTAACACCAACCAAACTAATAGAAAAAGAAACTGATCTTGTACACCTGAAAGTAGCAGTTCAGCTAAAATCACCTCGTTTTCACACTCCTGAGATAATGCACAACACATCAAGCTGAAACCAGTTTCTATACACACATCACATTCAGAGGTGCAAACTTGTGACTATTAGCACAAGATTTAGTTTTTAAAAATCCCTTCACTTTAAACAAGCAGTGGGTTATCTCATATCATTCATTTCTGTGACACTATACTCTCTGCAATAGAAGTACCTTTGGGTCAATCCAAAGCTTTTGCTGCATGTCGGATACTTCCATATGGAGAGCTTGGAAATAGCTCATTTAGTAACTGCTTAATTAACTCATCGAATGTATAATACCTTTAGTTTCCAATTAATGTTGTACTGGGTGGTGTTGATGGTAGTATTTGGTGGTAGTAATTTTTTGAGATGCTTAGAATGTTTTTCTTTCCTTCGAACAAAGAGGTTTAGATTGCATCAAAGTGAATGCATGTCCCAGAATGTGAGCTAGATGATGTTAGTTAAGCCACCAATTTGGGAGGTGCACACACAGAATCCTTCTCCCTTATAATTTGCACACAATGGTACATCATTTAGCGACACATGCGTGGAATCATATTTTTGTTTCTACCACATTGGCATTATCGGGCTCTCTGGTGGTGCAGCGGATTAAACCACTGAGCTGCTAAACTTGCTGACCGAAAGGCTGGTGGTTCGAATCCAGGGAATGGGGTGACCTTCCGCTGTTAGATCCATCTTCTGCCAACCTAGCAGTTCAAAAACATGTGTGAGTAGATTAATAGGCACCACTTCTGTGGGAAGGTAACAGCACTCCATGCAGTCATGCTGGCCACATGACCTTGAAGGTGTCTACGGACAAAATTGGCTCTTCAGCTTAGGAACGGGGATGAGCATCCCCCCCCCCCCGGCCAAGAATTGGACATGACTAGACTTAATGCATGGGGAAACCTTTATCTTTACCTTATTGGCATCTTGCACCGGCAACTAAGATAACCAGTGATCCCACTGGATATAAGAAGGAATGAGATGGGCTAACTCAGCCATTGCTCAGAACATAATCAGTATAGGACAAGAAGTTACTGAAGAGATTGACGAAGCTCTCACATCCACTAGAAAGAAAGCCTCCAATACACGGTGTTATATTAGAGGGGACCTATTTTCTGCCAGGAACCTTTCTAAAGTTCATGCCTTTTATGAACAAAGCTTGACATATTAGGATTGAAAATTAATTTTAAAAAATTAATTAGGAAATTAATTCATTAGTCTCAACAGTAATGTCTAAAATCATTTAATTAGCTTAGATGTCATTAGTAAAATCACTGTTTGAGACATTTTGCTATTAGTTCCTTCAAAAGAACTCCTCTGGGCAATAAAAGCCTTTAGCTACAGTGTTCATTAATGTAGTAAGTTAGGTGAAATAGCTAGAAAATCTTGCAAATTAGTAAAACAGCAAGTTAATTAACTAGTTACTAAACTAGTTGTTTCTGATTTTGAGTGTGATGGTATCTCTTATACAGCAATAGATCTGGGTTGGACTATTTGGGTACCACAAAGTCCAATCCCAGAACGGTTGTGGTTCAAAATCCCTATAAATGACTTAGATAACGGCATAGATGACATGCTTATCAAAGGACACCAAATGGGGAAAGAGGGGTAGTGAATACCTCAGAGGACAGGGTTAAATTTCAAAATGACTTTGACAGATTGGAGAGCAGTGCCAAAATGAACAAAGTAATGTCAACAAGGGCATGTACTACGTCTAGTAATGAAAAATGTAATACAGAAATATAAAATGGATAGCACCTGGTTTGGGCACCTGAAAAGAATCAAACACGAATCAGCAGTGCGATAGGAAAAAAAAGCCAGTACAATTCTAGAATTCATCAATGGCAGCAATGTCCAGATGAAAGGAGGCAGTAGTCCTACGATCTCGTCCTCATCCATCTCATGGTTCTCATCTTGCTGTAACTGGACCTACAGGATTTGTTTTTTTTAATGCAGGGGAAAGGGATCTGGCAAGGTGTTGTGCTTGTTTACAGCTAGATATGACAGCTCATAATCATATAGCCACCTGCCTGGTTGGTAAAGGACATTTTCAAGTGAGGAAATGTTACAAGCTGCCATTACCATGACTTGAAATGCATCTGTAAAACTCCAAAATTAAAACTTGAGAAAATCAGAGTCGAGACATTTATTTTATTTTTTAATAACAATATCAATAAAAATAAAAAGCAAAACCAGGCATAACTTTCTGAAAACAGCTTTCTACCTCATAATTTCACAGAAATTAGCTTGGAAATATTGTTTTGCCCTCCCCACCTTGGATTCCTGCACCATCCCTTTCTCACAGGCCAACTACGGCACACTGAAGGTAAAATGGGTCGATCAAGACATATCACCGACTCATCAGGCTTGGGATATTGTGTATGGAGGTTGATTCACAAATAGCCATGGCTGGGGAGAACACTTCCATTGAATCCATGCCCTGAACTTCTTAGATGTCCTTTACCTTTGTGAGAAGGATATGTGTGAAATGTGTGTGCTCTCAGCATAAACCGATGTGAATTATCATCCACTTGTTTGGTTGGGTGTCTGGTGATAACTGGGCAATAACAACTAGCTTACACTAACTTAGGAATTCAGCATTTCAGGGGTCCCCAACATTTCTTCTGAATTCCTGCTTCTCCTTTTCTTGACCACATCGATTGCAGCTGTTTCAGATGCCATATGTAACCATTCTTGGATCACACTTCTACAAACAAATAAGCACAATCGAAAGAGCAGGGGGAGGAAGAGAATGAGGAGGGTACAATGGATTCAAAAGGTATGGTGGTGTGGAAAGAAAAGGGAAAGGAAGTGCCCTGTGCTTCATGTCCCTCCATCAGTCCCATTGTGTCTGCAAGAAAACATCTAAATCTTCTCACCTGAAAGATGTCTCCCCCATTGAGAGCTGGTGTATTTCTTTGTTTTGGATGGGATGAATATGATTATGTGAGAACAGAAAGTGCAAGACACTTCCTGCTCTCTTATCAAGAGATCTGCATTCAAAGGCTGGCTAGGATGGAGGAGTGTTGAGAGTGGCGAAGGACCTTTTCATGTCCAAGCTACAAGCTCATGAAACTCAGTTTTCAGGAGAAAAACTATATTCTACCACCATCTCAGCATAGGAGATCACCCACAGAAGAAACTTATATGAGAAAATCACAAATCTCTGAATCTGTGACCATAGGGCAAGACATTGCTGAGGGCTGGAGTAAAGAGATCTGCAAAGTTAGCCTGGATCATAAATCTCAAACTAGACTGGAGTCATGGAAATACCTTCCTCCCTCAATACAAGTATCTTCCTTTTCCTTTAAATCCTTTGAAGACTCTGCATTCTCCTGAGCCACTAAACCATGAATAGGAACAACAGGCAGCTCAGGCATAGCAAGAATGGATAGCAGATGTCACAATAGCTTCATGGTCTGTCCATCTCTATCTTATTTCAAGGAACTAAGTAAACCAGAGCAAGTGAACCTCAGAATCACCATGATTGTTCCCTGAAAGTTGTCTGAATTTTGCGTAGCTGCTCCAGTTACCTTCTTAGCTGGCAGTAACACTGGAGGGCTCATCTCATTCTCTCTTTAGCAGGAATCCTGACTTGTCAGCACTACTGAGTTAATAAATGTAATTTCTGACTAAGAAATTAGATCCCTTAAGAAAAGTCACAAAAACCCCCAAAGTAAACATAGTTTGCTTTAAATAGTTCCATAGAAACCCTCTGCCCCACATGCCCTTTGTGAAGGCTTCCAACCAATGCTGTGTCCATAACTGCACCTGTAGCACTGAGGAAAACATGTGGAGATACGGCAGCTGTGGCAAGGTGGCTCTTGCTCCCTTTTCACCTCTTGAAGGGGACCAAGAGTGAGGTCCCATTGATGGCAGGGCCATAGTTTAGTCTTTGGATGTCTTCTTGCTGCGTGAATTCCACATGCCACGTTTGGAATGGTAGTAATGGTAAAAGTTCCTGAGTCGCAAACGTTCCACCTCCAATCCACTCTGAAGCACCCTAGAACAAGAGAAGGAAATTATGTATGTGTGCAAGAGGAGAAGGACACCAACTGGGTTCTTCAATTCAACCTGTGTTAGGAACACATGACACTAAAACATGTGTTGAAGGCCATGTATAATGTGGAAGGGAGATTGTGTGTACCTTCTTACAACAATGGGTTTGAAATTTGCATTGTACAGCATGTGAACTTTACTTGTCTTAAATTGTGCCTCTATACATCTCTAAGAACAATGGTTCTCAACCTGTGAATCCCCAGGTATTTTGGCCTACAATTCCCCAAAATCCCAGCCAATTTACCAGCTCTTAGGATTTCTGGGAGTTGAAGGCCAAAACACCTGAGGACCCACAGGTTGAGAATCACTGTCTAAAACATTCTCTTGATTGTATTCGTCAAACAACTACTGCTATAATTCTGCACACCCTCCCTTCCATTTACCTGCCTAGTAGCTACATTCCTGACATATCCAGTGATGTGAAAACTTTGCCCCTTCTATTCAGATCAAGGAAAGAGAGAATGGAGATCCCAACGGCAAGACCTGGGAGTGTTTAACTCCACTTTTTAAAGCAGAGGTTAAAATCAAAGGTGAATGAAGCAATGCGACCTACAAGGACGAGCTGGAAAATAGAGAATGCCTCTTGCAAAGAAAATCTTCAAGTAAACTTACAGCCTCAGGACATTTCCGCACAGTCTCAGCAGGCAGCAATCACATTTCACATTTTGCATGAAAGCCTCAGGCCTTTTCAAAGTCAATGGCACAACATCCTGCCCAGATATAATCGTGGATGGCAGTGTAGCCTTGCTTAGGAGAGTAGGGACAGCTGTACTAGAGTTTGCATTCTTTACTAATATAACGTAACTAGATCCATGCTCTAGTACAGCAGAAAAAGAGTACAAAACCTATGAAGAATGCAATTACAAAATGGCAGTGCATTACTGTTGGAGAAAGAAGGGGTTAACAGAGTTTGTTTGCCACACTTTCTTTTTAAAGAAGGAGCCAAAAGTAGTTGGAAAATTCAACATGTTTTCTTGAACAGTGTGAATTAAAATAACATGTCTTTAAGATATGTGAACGAAATTTATTAACATGCTTTAATTGTCCGTTCCTGCTCCCACCCTTTTGATTCACTCTGCAGGGACAGCAATTATGCTTTTAAGGCGTTGAATAGTTCCTATGTGTAAAAGTGCCTTGAGTCACCTTTGGGGTTGTGAAGGGCGGGGTATAAATATGGTAAATAAAAAATATAAATAGAGAGAGGTCAAAACATATGTAGTAAAGTTTATTGATTAGTCCACTGACCATATCAGCAGTAAAAGACAAAAACAAGAAAATACATAAATAGACACTGATCACTGTCCTAAAACTCCTGTAATAGTGAACATACTTTAAAACACAATAAAAACTTGATTTATTTAAAAGTTAAAGATAATTAAAAATATCATCATTAAAGTGCCAAGGAAAAACTTCATACCACAGAAGTTAAGGATGAAGGTTAAAACAAAGGTTAAAATAGACCAGCTATTACACAATCCCAATCCAGTTCAGATATCCGCCTCACCCCTACAGTTTACTCCAATCGCCTCCAAATACGCAGTTCTCAGCTGCGTTAATTTATGTAGAAAAAGGGCCGTTTGGTGTGTTAGCATTCTGGCCAGCCATTAAAAATGTAGTTTTAATATGGGGATCTCATTGAGTCTTCTGTGTAATGAATGGTCCAAGGTATTGATTTCTCTCTTTCTTGACCAAAATAAAACTAAACAGTACATGTGTAATATCCTCTACCTCTGTCACCCCACAGATACGGAAACATTTGTTATATGGAACCTGGTTAAACCTTCCATGTTTAACCATTGTATCTGTCTGTTCAAATCTGGTTCTAGTGAATACCCTCCTGAGATGAAGAGGTCAAAACATCTTTTCCTTTCAAAACATTCAGCTGTCTATTTGAGTTAAAAGTCTATCATGTTTTTAATGAGGTATAATTCCTATATCCTGGATCTAATCAGGAAAGCTTTTGGGAAGTCTAGGTCATCATCATAGATAGGAGTAGGCAAATGTGGCCTATAGGAAGCCACAGACCCCATTTTATGACAGACCAAACCCCTTATGACTCTCTCAAAGCCCCACCCATTTTATTGCAAAAATTGACACAATTTTCAGGCACTTGTTGTTCCATGCAAAACTTCGCTAAATGTGTAAAAACATGTTTAAAAAGTGGCCTAGAACACTACTAACCCCAATATCTGCATTTTCTGATGTAGTTCCTCTCAAAATGAAGAGAAGAACTTATTTTTCCTATTTGAGAGAGACTATGAGGCAAATGGAAGCATTTCATCTTGCTCTGAGAGGAGGTCCCTGGGAAGTGAATGGGCCTCTGGCCCCCATATATTTGATCTGCCCTCTCTCTCATAGACTGTAGTCTTACCTGTCCAAGAGCTCCCAGTCCTCTCCACCCCATCGGTCCCGAAATTCTTCCGTGTTCATCCCCCCAATGCGATCAAAATCCGACTTATAGATTCCAAAGAGGCCAAAGCCATTCACTTCCCAGTATCCTAAGGAAGAAAAAAACCCCTATTTGTCAATTAAAATATGTATACCTGGCATTATCAAAGATCTGAGTGGTTTACAAAAAGCAATAAGCAAGTTACACAATTTAAAGCAATAAAATAATTGAACCAAAAACATATTAAACTGCAATAGAATCATAGCGGGAAGGGACCAAAAAGAGCATCTAGTAAAATTCCCTGCTATGCTGTAATAAGTTAAAAAACTTATTTAAGCAGTTTCTAAAAGTATGTGCACTGTATTTGGAATTGGTTAATGAGGCTGCAATGTTTTGATGAAAAGTTGAGTTGTAATTTGTCGCCTAAGTGACATGAGTACTGGAGCCAGTGGGGCCTCCAGAGGGAAGGCATTCCACACTTAGGGTGGCTGAGAAGACTCTCTCCCATCTCTCAATACATTGTATTGATCTCAATGGTGGGATATAGAGGAGGACTCCCTCTAGCACAGTGGTTCTCAACCTGGAGTTCCCAGATGTTTTTGGCCTACAACTCCCAGAAATCCCAGCCAGTTTACCAGATGTTAGGATTTCTGGGAATTGAAAGCCCAGATTGAGAACCACTGTTCTAGCAGATGTTAATTTTTTGGACAGGCACCCCTAATGTGGACAATTTCGGAGCATTTAGGATTTTGGAATTCCAGATAAGGGATGCTCAACTTGTGTGTAATTTTGCATTGATTGTTTTATTTAACTTCATTTTATTAGCATTGTGTAATTTAATATAATTGTTTTCATGTGATCTGCTTTATTGTTGAATGCTCCGTTTTGTTTATTTTGAATTGTTTTCCTTTATTGTTGACTGTTTGCCTTTTAGGTTGTGAACCACCCTGAGTCCCCATGGGGAGATAGGGCAGGATAGAAATAAAGTTTTACTTACTTAGGTAGTTAAAATTATGTGTTAACAAAAATATTTTAAAATACACAGATATATGCAGTCAGACCTTCACATTTGCTTGATTTAGGGGCATAGAACCTAAACAATAAAGAAATGGCTATTTTTTACCAGAAAGAATAGCTCTTTAGGAATTCCTAGGTCATAGTGAAAAACCTAGAGATTCCTAGAGAGAACATTTTAAATTAAATCTGTAAATAATTAAATATGCAAAAGTGAAAACTGCCAATTTGGAAGGATGACGGTATATAAAACCAAGATAGAAGCTAAACTAAGATTAAATATCAAACTAAACACTACACCAAAGCTTTTATAGCACATACTTTTTTCTTAAATGATAAAATAGCAATATCTCTAAGGCAAGCCAACTCCCATGAGTGAGAAAGAAATGATTTTCTATTCCCAAATCCCATTAAACCTATGTTACCCATATTACATATCACAAGCCAACAGCATGTAAGTGGATTAGGTACACTTTACCAGATACATTGGAAGGAGATGGAATGCCTTTAATAAACCACAACCCAAATAGACTTAGCAGAACAGTCTGGAGGTGTCTTTCTGTGTGTGTGTGTGTGTGTGTGTGTGTGTGTGAAACAGAGATGAACTCCCTACCTTCAATAGTGAACCTTGTGATTAGAAAGGCTTCTTTCCCTTGGCAGGAGAATTCTCAGTCGCCTATTTACTCGAATCTAATGCTACCTTTTTGGGGTAAATGACCTGGCCAAAATTAGGATGCAAACTAGATTTGCATCTTAGTGCTGAGCCAAAGCAAAGGGGGAAGCTACTTCAAGAGTGGCACCCGGAGTTCCTCCTATTTGAGGGATGTCTAATTTAATGGCCATGGCTCAATGCTACGAGATCCTGGGATTTGTAGCTTGATGAGGCATGAGCCTTCTTTGTCATAGAAAGTTCAAAACCTTGTAAAACTACAGCCCCCATGACTCCATAGCATTGAACCAAGGCAATTAAAGTGGATTCATTCTACAGCATGGATGCACCCCAAGGTTTTCCTTTCCATTGCTGAAGGCTTTGGTGCTCAAACACTTGGTTTTTAAAGAAGGATTTTTAAGTGGACAACCACTGTAATGTGCACCTTTTTTGGCCAAGTGCACTTTTTGACTCTGCACATGACATTCGGCAGCAAATACTTTTTTTGGTTTCAGGGTTTTGAAAATGAGCATGAGATTCAATGGCGCATTAGACTCAAGCAAATATGGTACGGTACTTCTTTCCCTTGAAGGAAAGGAGGAGAATCTGGAGGGAACTCACCTCAAGGAAATTCTTTTTTGATACTCAAATACTTAAATAGATACATTGCTTTAAAAACATAGCTAACAGCTATGCCACCACACACACCCTGCATGCTTTAAAACTCCAGAATGGAATATAAATCCACATTTGGATCCAAGTCATTTTAAAAAGTAAGATCCCATTTACATTACTAAGTGGTGCTAACTTGGGCAGTTTACATTATTTCCATGCCTCTGAGCATCAAAAGGAAAAGGCGGTATTCATTTCACTGTCCACCTACCACAATCAGTTCTCAGTGTGACTCCACCTCACATTTTGTGAAATATTTTTTTCTGTCAAGCAAATTTCAGAAAAAGAATAGCTACCATAAGAAGCCTAATACCTCAAAGACTAAAGAGAAAAAACATATAGTTTCACTGATGCCACAAATAGCAATTAATAGGAAGACTTCATACTAAAAATGCAGGTCTCCCTCTCGCTCTCTTGCTCCCTTACTTTTCCTATACTTTTCTACTAAAACATTCACACACTTTTTGAATTATCCCCCTTTTACTGTCAGCAGCCTTACTGTTTGGGCCTTTTAAAGTCAAAATCGTTTCAATAAAAGCAGCAAAGTCCCAGCAGGGAAGTCAAAGTCAAGCCTCCTGGGTTCTATTCTGAACTTATGTCAGCCCTCCAGCAAATGGTTTGGCCTTTCTCTTTTGGATTGTGGGGCACAATACCTGTGTGACAGGGGCCATGTCAGACTTGTGCTGAAGTTTAGTTTATACAGCAGTCTCTTGAAAAGATCAGGAAGACACCCTGTGTATTGGTTCTGCTTTCACATAAGTGCAGTGAGTTGTGCTGCTTTCCAAGAGAGAAAATGTGAAGTTTGAAGCTTCCCCTTCAAGGAATCCATGCCTATAAGTATGATGACTGGAGGTATTCACTAAGAGAGCAATATGGGAGTCAAGGCACAATGGCTGGGCCAGGGAGGCTTGCTGTTTCAGCTGCATAATGCTTGCTGACAGTAAGAGGCATTCGTGCTGCCTCATTCATTCAGCCCGGCTTCCTCCAGCTGCACATGAATCTCACCATTGGGTTCTTGAGGAGAGCTCCCACAGCCCAGCCTCATGACGATGGGCGCATAGGCCAGCTTCCCCTCCACGCAGTGCTTCCGGATGTTATCGAGAATGTTGAGGGGAAAGTGGATGTGCAGATCACACAGGAACACAATGCTGCTGCTGTCCTGAAGGATTGAAGAGCAACAAGAGAGACAGGCCATTGGCTGTGTGGCAAACCAAATGCTTATTTGTTCTAGGAAGAGTGTCATTCCCCTTGCCCTCAGTCCTCACCTCTATGGAGTCCACCCCAGCCTGCAGTCCAGCAGAACGCTCAAAGTTCCCAGTGCGCTTCAAGTATTGATACCTGGAAAGAAGATGCACATTATTTACACCTGATGAAAATAAAGCATGCAAAGATATAATCGGGAGGGAAGACCTTATCGATAACTAAGCAGTATGTGGATGCAATAGTCCCCAACACTTCATAGAATCATAGAGTTGGGAGAGACCTCATGGGCCATCCAGTCCAACTCCCTGCCAAGAAGCAGGAAAATCGCATTCAAAGCACCCCTGGCAGATGACCAGAAAGATGAAGGTTTGTTCCAGAAAGATGAAGATTTGTTAAGGGAAAACATTCATTTGCATGTTGGAAATCCATGCCTGGCATCTCCAGGAAAGGCCAGGAAAGAATCCTGCCTGAAAATTCAGAGAGGTGCTGCCAGCCATTATTAACAATTCAGGGAGCAATTATTTGATTCAATTATAAAGTTGTTTTCCTATGTTCTATGGCCTGGATTTCATGATTAAAGTAGGGTACAGAGCTCAAAATGAAGACTACTTAGTTGATTAACTATCTGCCTCTTCATACAAGTAAATTCATTAACATAAATTAATATACTACCTAAACCACTCTACAAATCTTTTGTTCGACGCTGAGGTAACTTGAAATGAGGAAATGGAAAGTGTTTCTTGTTTTACAACATGTCATCAATGTTTACTTCTTCCTTTGTTGTTGTTCATTCGTTCAGTCGTCTCCGACTCTTCGTGACCTCATGGACCAGCCCACGCCAGAGCTCCCTGTCGGCCGTTACCACCCCCAGCTCCCTCAAGGTCAGTCCAGTCACTTCAAGGATGCCATCCATCCATCTTGCCCTTGGTCGGCCCCTCTTCCTTTCGCCTTCCACTTTCCCCAGCATAATTGTCTTCTCTAGGCTTTCCTGTCTCCTCATGATGTGGCCAAAGTACTTCAACTTTGTCTCTAGTATCTTTCCCTCCAGTGAGCAGTCGGGCTTTATTTCCTGGAGGATGGACTGGTTGGATCTTCTCGCAGTCCAAGGCACTCTCAGAACTTTCTCCAACACCACAGTTCAAAAGCATCGATCTTCCTTCGCTCAGCCTTCCCTAAGGTCCAGCTCTCACATCCGTAGGTTACTACAAGGAATACCATGGCTTTGACTAGGCGGATCTTTGTTGCCAGTCTGATGTCTCTACTCTTCACTATTTTATCGAGACTGGACATTGCTCTCCTCCCAAGAAGTAAGCGTCTTCTGATTTCCTGGCTACAGTCTGCATCTGCAGTAATCTTTGCACCTAGAAATACAAAGTCTGTCACGGCCTCCACGGTTTCTCCCTCTATTTTCCAGTTGTCAATCATTCTTGTTGCCATCATCTTGGTTTTTTTGACATTTAGCTGCAACCCGGCTTTTGCGCTTTCTTCTTTCACCTTGATTAGAAGGCTCCTCAGCTCCTCCTCGCTTTCGGCCATCAGAGTGGTGTCATCTGCATATCTGAGGTTGTGAATGTTTCTTCCAGCAATTTTCACCCCAGCTTTGCATTCATCCAGCCCCGCACATCGCATGATGTGTTCTGCATACAAGTTAAAAAGGTTGGGTGAGAGGATGCAGCCTTGCCGTACGCCTTTCCCAATCTTGAACCACTCTGTTGTTCCATGGTCAGTTCTTACTGTTGCTACTTGGTCCTTGTACAGATTCCTCAGGAGAGAGACAAGGTGGCTTGGGATGCCCATCCCATTAAGAACTTGCCACAATTTATTATGATCCACACAGTCAAAGGCTTTAGAATAGTCAATGAAGCAGAAGTAGATGTTTTTCTGAAACTCCCTGCCTTTCTCCATTATCCAGCGGATATTGGCAATTTGGTCTCTCGTTCCTCTACCTTTTCTAAACCCAGCTTGAACATCTGGCAACTCTCGCTCCATGTATTGCTGGAGTCTTCCTTGCAGGATCTTGAGCATTACCTTACTGGCATGAGAAATAAGGGCCACTGTACGGAAGTTTGAGCAGTCTTTCGCATTTCCCTTTTTTGGTATGGGGATATAAGTTGATTTTTTCCAGTCTGAGGGCCATTCTTGTGTTTTCCATATTTGCTGGCATATGGCATGCATCACCTTGACAGCATCATCTTTTAAGATTTTAAACAGTTCAGCTGGGATCCCGTCATCTCCTGCTGCCTTGTTGTTAGCAATGCTTCTTAAGGCCCATTCAACCTCACTCCTCAGGATGTCTGGTTCTAATTCATTCACCACACCGTCAAAACTATCCTCAATATTATTATCCTTCCTATACAGATCTTCTGTATAGTCTCGCCACCTTCTCTTGATCTCTTCAGCTTCTGTTAGGTCCCTGCCATCTTTGTTTCTTATCATACCAATTTTTGCCTGAAATTTACCTCCAAGGTTTCTAATTTTCTGGAAGAGGTCTCTTGTCCTTCCTATTCTGTTGTCTTCTTCCACTTCCATGCATTGCTTATTTAAAAATAGTTCCTTATTATTTAAATTATAAATTATACTTCTTCCTTACTGAGTTCATTAAGAATGCGTATTCATTCTCTATTTCAGCAACATTCCCAAACTAGAGAGACTGAGAAAACAACTGGGCCTCGTCTCTGAACCTCACTAATTCAAATGGTCTCTTGCTGATTAATCAACTGAGGATGCATATTTAATTGGGAATAAATCCCACTGAACTCACTGGATCACTTCTAAGTAAATGTGTGAAATCTTTTTGCCATGTTTTAAATTTCTGACAGGCTAGGGCATAAGCTCTGTGGAAGACTACCTCTGTTTGGGTTAAACCATTTTCTCCCAGCTAGTTGTTAACCATTTGTCTTTCAGCTCCTCATGCCTTTTTCCTTTCATGTCATCTCTTTCAGATCATAAGACTTTCCTCTGGTAGTATGTTGATCAAGAAGCAGGAGAAAGGGACAGTGCCATCTTCCCTGTTGGAAAAGCCCATCATTGCCCCCCTCCCCCACATGCCTTTTAGAGCAATTTAAGGTGGGTTGTAGGGAACATACGACAACCCTCTTAAAGCAGCTCCAGTGCCTACCAATTTGCTTCTGGGCCCAATTCAAAGTGCAGTTTATTGGGTTTTTATAGTTATCCATACTTGTGTGTGTAAAACAGTCAGAAAGATCAAGTTACAAGAAAATACTTAATTGCCTGTTCCCATTCTTATGCGGTTGTTTTTTTTTATTAATATGGCAACATAATATGTTTAGACATATTCTGAAATTCTCTTGATCATGAAGCTATATTTCCTGCCTTGCAAAGAGTTTCTTAAAAATACATTAGGGTTTTTTTGCATATGATATGGAGGGTGGAGGGGAGAGAAGTAGCTGGTGGTACTATTGCTATTATCCATATGGAAACAGTTTTTCCTAAAACATAATAACCAATAATTCTAGTTAGGAATAGTTTGCATGGAATTTGCTTTGAAAATGTCTTAAATCTGACGAACGGTAAAGTATGTTATACTTATTTTGCAAAAGTTGCCATTTGAATACAGATCTAGACATGTTTCATTATTTCCGAATGTATACAGATTCTATATTAGATTGTTTGTGTCAAATAATTAATAAAATAATTTTTAAGTGCAGTTTATTAACTATAAAGCCCTATATGGCTCAGATCCTGCCTATTTATGTGACCATATCTCTCCCTATGAACTTGTCCAGATTTCAGCTGGGGAGGCCCTCCTCTCGATCCCACCTCCCTCACAAATGAGATTGTTGGGAATGAGGGAGGGGTAGTAGCCCCCAACTCTGGAATGCTCTCCCCAAGGAAATAAGACAAGCACCCGCCTTGTTAATCCTTAAGAAGGAGCTAAAAACATGACTATTTAAGCAAGCCCTTGAGAATGGCTAGATTTTACTGGAAACTATTAGACAGGATTGGAATGACCATGAGATCATTATTTATAACTGCCGGACAGCTTTATAATAGGAATGGCTGGTTAAACACTGATATATATTTAGATTGTTTTTATAAGACAAATAGCTTTTAAATTGTTGTTTATTAATGGTTATGGTGCTTTTGTACTGGTCCATTTAGTTTTCTTGGCAAGGATACTGGAGTGGTTTGCCATTGCCTTCCAGAACACATCATGCGATGTGCGGGGCTGGATGAATGCAAAGCTGGGGTGAAAATTGCTGGAAGAAACATTAACAACCTCAGATATGCAGATGACACCACTATGATGGCCGAAAGCGAGGAGGAGCTGAGGAGCCTTCTAATCAAGGTGAAAGAAGAAAGCGCAAAAGCCGGGTTGCAGCTAAACATCAAAAAAACCAAGATTATGGCAACAAGAATGATTGACAACTGGAAAATAGAGGGAGAAACCGTGGAGGCCGTGACAGACTTTGTATTTCTAGGTGCAAAGATTACTGCAGATGCAGACTGTAGCCAGGAAATCAGAAGACGCTTACTTCTTGGGAGGAGAGCAATGTCCAATCTCGATAAAATAGTAAAGAGTAGAGACATCAGAATGGCAACAAAGATCCGCCTAGTCAAAGCCATGGTATTCCCTGTAGTAACCTACGGATGTGAGAGCTGGACCTTAGGGAAGGCTGAGCGAAGGAAAATCGATGCTTTTGAGCTGTGGTGTTGGAGGAAAGTTCTGAGAGTGCCTTGGACCGAGAAGATCCAACCAGTCCATACTTCAGGAAATAAAGCCAGACTGCTCACTGGAGGGAAGGATAGTAGGGGACAAAGTTGAAGTACTTTGGCCACATCATGAGGAGACAGGAAAGCCTAGAGAAGACAATTATGCTGGGGAAAGTGGAAGGCAAAAGGAAGAGGGGCCGACCAAGGGCAAGATGGATGGATGGCATCCTTGAAGTGACTGGACTGACCTTGAGGGAGCTGGGGGTGGTAACGGCCGACAGGGAGCTCTGGCGTGGGCTGGTCCATGAGGTCACGAAGAGTCGGAGACGACTGAACGAATGAACAACAATGGTGTTTTTAATTGTACTAAATGATCACTGTTTTTGTTATTGTTGTTTATCATGTGTTTGTTGTAAGCCACCCTGAGTCCCTTCGGGGAGAGGGGGCGGGGCATAAATAAAATTTATTGTTGTTTTACTGACACAAAAACACAGTATGTCACAGCAAATGATATATATATATGCAGGATTTCATATCACAAAATCACAAGTCGAACACTTCCCAAGTGTTTTATTATTATTATTGGATAGGACAGGATTTCCTGCATGTGACTCTTCTTTATTTCTCACCTAAAGCCTCCCAGTGTGTTCTTCCTATCCTTTGAAATACATGCTAAGAAACACCTCTTTTGTGTCTGCAAGTAACTAGATCATGTGATCCAAGAATGTTCCTAGGATTATCAGATATATAAAGATCCTGCGTCTCTCTCTCTCTGCATTGTGAAGGGATTTTCTGTCTTTAATTTTCAGTTCTCTTCCTTTTCCTGTCCTCAGTCATGCTTCAATTCAACATCAAAAAATGGTGAGTTTAGAGAGAAGCTACTACCTTTTTCCTAATCTTTTCATTAGCTAGTTAGGATGTAGGCTTTCCATGTGTATGCGGATATAAAAGCCACCAGTAAACCTTGCCAAGTTTGTAACTTGAAACTGCCTGCTTTGTTTGTTTTTGAGAAGCAGCTTGAGGTTGAGGCTCTGCTAAAAGAAACATTGATTCTTAACCAGTTTCATTTTCTTAGGGCTTCCCAAAAAGGGAGAGTCTAATTCCTAATGGTTTGTTTCCCCACTCCTTAGGAGATGAGCTGACTCCTGCGTAGACCTGCCTGGAACATCAAGCATAGCGAATGGCAAGCCTGTCACTGCCCCCTTCTGTGCAAATTTCAGACTGGAATATAAAATTACAGCGACTGCTGAAGGCATTGCCCTTGTACCATTACGCTAATAAGTATAATCTCCTTTTTTCCACTCTGTATTAACTTGAGGTAAGAAGAGGACGTGTTTGATCTGAGTTGGGCTCTCATATTATAGCTTTATCAAATAGGCCATGTATATTATTCTCATGGCTTTGCTGGCTGCTGGAACCGAGATGTAAATGAATGCGTACTTTGATAAAATATGGGGCGATGGTGCGCTGCCCCTTGCTGCTTATATCAAGGATATGGTCTACTCTAGGCTTAGCTCTGAAGAAGCAAGTGATACTGATCTCCCATGGGGCCTTGGGGGCTGTAGCAACCCCTTACAATGCCTCACATGATGTTTAATTTTTTAAAAATAAACTTTAAAAAACAGTTTTAGGTCCAGGAGAGGCCTTTAAAAAGTGAATTACTTGTCCAAGAAAACTTTCCCTTAGGCTCCAAACAGTGTGTGACAGACAAAGCATGGAAAAATGTCCCCATGTCCCCTGGGGAGCTGGAGGATTATTTTGGAGGATTATGTTATTTGGGGATAGGTTGAGGGCGGTCCAGCAGAACCTCAAAAACAAGCAATCCCCTTATAAACATGGGTGAGGAGTGGGAGGTTGCTATAAACGAATGAAGCACAATCCTTAGTAGCCTGAGAAGTATGATCTACTGTTTTCAGTGGGTCTAGTGAATGTATTTAGGTTGCATCCTTAATCTACCCATTAAACTGATTAAAACACACAGCCTTTATTTGCAGATGAAATCAGCTTGATATCTGGCAACAGCTCATAAAGCAACAATATCATCCAAACATGGACCACGCAGAAAAGTGGCCCTAATTACACACAATGCCTCTCTTTCTCTCTTCTCATGTTGAACAGGGAATCTGATTTCAGCAGGAACTGCCCTACTCTCAACTCCTCTTTCATACACATATGTGGTAAACCATTTCTGTTTGCCTTTTTCTATCCATGACATATTTCTCACATACTGCTGGAAAAAAAAACAAGCTCACCATGCATGATGCTATAAAATCTGGAGAGGAAATTAGATTTTATTTAAACAGGCTTACTCATCTCCCCAGCGGCCAGCAGTATCCACTGTAAAATGCAAAGCAGTGTGTTTAGACAGCTCTAGCAATCAGAAAGCAGACAGCTGGGTAGCTTTGAAGTTGAAGAAGAGGAGCCAGTGAAAACGATTCTAGGGCTTCCAGTGTTGCTTGATGTTACCTGGGCAGCGGTGTCTCCCGAAGAGCCTTCTCTACATCCATGTCATCACTGTCAAAATCCACCAGGATAATGTTGAAGTTGGCATCCTTGGTGTTCAAGTATAGGTTGGACATGTCTGAGATGAACTGCTGTACCCAGCGGGCTTGGTTTTTCACTACAAGAAATTAGCATTTCAACACATGCACTCAGTACATCATTCATAGAGGAGTATCTCTGTTATAAAAAGGCCACAAATAAGCAATGGCAATAAAGTACTATTCTCAGCATGTGTTCCAGATAGAGCCCAGCATTCAGTGGTATTCAGACAGCAGCAGTTTAGCATTCAACTAGCGGAAGGAGGAAATGATTATATAGTGAAGAGGATACAAATCCACGGTTAAGCACCAGTTTCATTTCCTTAGCTACTATTGGCTCTTCCACAAGTTTCAACACAGAAAGTGGTTTTTGTATATGCAGAAAGATGCAGATTTTTATAAGTATGGTAATTTAGGTCATCGAAAACACATACACACAATGTGGCTTTTTGCTTCTGTCCCTCCCCCCACCCCCCAAATCTCTATATAGCTTAAAACTATGCATTGTGAAATTTACAAGCAATAGTCATTACAAGTCATGTCAAGAGACACACGTTCCATCATACTCTAAAAACGTATGAAATTAAGAAGTTTTGTCTCACTTTAGGTTCCCGAAAAAATTCCATAGATGCACCCTATGAAAACCTCACAAACTGAGAAATAATTCTAAATGGCTTCTCCTAGATTGTGCATCTCAGGATTCAACAGAATATAGCTGGGGCAGCTGAAGTGGAATCATAGCACTATAATTGTAGAGGACTCCTGTTCTCTTAATAACACTCACACCTGTTGGCCCTCCAGCTTTGGTATGATTTAATTCCCCTGTCTTCGGTTGGAAATCCACCATTCTTTTTCAGGAAAAGAGTAATTCACTCTTGGCACACAGAGGACCAGCTCTCACCTGGCACCACAAAATGCACCATAACATCAGGCCTCCAGATGAGCTTCAGAGGTCGGCACAGGATGGGCTTCCCATACAGCAGGCTCCAGGCACTAGGTGGTGGCTGAGATTCAGTGGAGGCAGTGGCAGCCCCCTTGGGGTTGACTTCAGTGCTGTCCTCTGACTTGCCCTGATGGAGGAGGACATAGATGTACTCTGATAGTCTCACGGTCCGTTGACCTCTCTCCATCAGCTCCAGCTCCATCAGGTAACGGTTGCCTCGGGCTGTATCTCTCCGCTTCTCCACATTGATGATCCGCAAGAGGGTATAAATTCTATGGGTAGGATAAGATAAAACTATACAGAGCTGGGAAAAGTTAATTTTGGAGAACTGTAACTCTGAATACCTATGCTGGCTGGGGAATTCTGGGAGTTTAAGTGCAACTCTTCTCCCCTCACCACCACTTTTTCTTTTTGGTCAGGGTATTAGTGTTGTCCTGAATGCGGCTCCATAGCATCTTGAAGAGAAAAATCTTTCACATCACCTGTTTCCTGATATCTTTAACTCAACACAACAACAGTATTGAACCTGGGACCTTCTGTATGAAAGTTGTGTGCCCAACCCCTAAACTATAGCTCTCCCTACTCCAGAAACCCTATTTTTGTTTAGATACTCTGGAAATAGATTAAGAGATGTACATGGAATGTACCCTAGCAACTTGAACGCATACCAAGAGTGACTTTCCTAGGCAGTGCTTGGCCCAAGATATCTAAATTTCAAGAGTGGTGCAGTCAGGTGGGCTATAAAAACAGTTTACTGAACTATAGTTTTCACACCAGGGAGTATCCTTAAGCAGTCCCATAAACAGAGGAAGGCAGAAGATTCTTCAAACTAACTGGGTTTGGTTTGCTGGACCACTTATTAGAGATCTAAGGCATTAAGCTCATCAAAAGTGGGACTGACAAAGATTTGGTGGTAGACTGGAAGGTCCTAGTTTGGATGGATAAGACCCAAGGATTGATCACTGTCCTTACAGCAAAACACTTGCTGTATGTAAGTATTTGGTTTTTTAAAATGTTTCCTTACAGTGATTTTCAATTATTACTCTTGAGCCCTTCTGCAAAACCTACTGTAAATATTACCTTTTTGTGATAATTTGTCCCAAGATAGTTACCATCTGAATTCCAAAACAGGAGAGGACAATTTTGGAGGCTCAAGAGGATATTCTCCAGTCCCAAGACCCATTGCAAGGTGACCAAAAGATCAGCTTCACTTTTTCAAAAAAAAATAAAATAGTCCCCATCCCCTCCAAACAAGAACAATAAAAACCATATGCTCTTTTTTCAGATAAGGTCAATTCCCTCTTCTGGAAGCACATTTTTCTTCCTCTACATACTTTTTTGTATAATAAAACATGTATTGGGGACTTTGAGAGCCACTAAAAATGTCCTTGGAGTTGCACATGATCCATGAAACATGATTCCTATCCCTGTTCTAAAAGTGATAGGTTGCATTACTCTGGAAGATTCAATTCAGTTAAATTTGTTGACATATTATTCACCATGGTTAGTGAACTGTGCCCTGCTATCCAAAAGCAAATGCAGGCTTTCACCAATACCCACATCTCCCCTCTCTCTCTTACTGTGGAGTATCTCACTCCATCTTCTGTTTGATGTGTAAATTGGAATTTGCAACCTGATTCCCTTAGAGGTGACAGATAACACATTTCACAATGCCTGGTCAAAGGGGTTAGGTGCTGTATTCCACAACAGCTGGGGATAACTAAAATGCCTACACCAGTGTACATAATACCACCCCTTCAACTCCCTCTTCCTACCCGCCATTCTTCTCATTGAGTTTCTCCATATACTGGGCCACCACATCCACCACCTCACTCTCGCTCAGCTGCAAGTTTCCTGAGACATTGCATCGCAGGTCATTCCAGTCGGAGCGCAGCAACTCAAAGTCCACAGGGCTGACACTGAACGTCCTTTGCCAATTGATGGAATCCTCTAGCCAGCTCTGCTGAAGCTCTGAGTTCTCATAACTATAGTCAGATAGTTCCTCCTCCATTTCCTCCTCTTGGGCCTTCTCCAGGCCTTCACCCTCCTCCTGCTGAGATTCTGTCATCTCTGACATCTGCAGAAAGGACGTAACCCGTACACCTTCAGATACCACCACCTCTGAGGAATTGTAATCTAGTGTGGTCCTTGCTGGGGGGGTGACCTCAAAGGTTTCTTTGCTGAGCACCCCTTCTTCAGGCAAGGTTGAGACACTGGGGCGCATCCTCTGCCTACTCCTAGCCTTGCGGGCCTCTCGACTGTACAGCTGTTCCCATTTCCGGTTGGCCCGCTGACCCTTTCGCTTAGAAGGCTCTGTTTCCCTGGAGGCATTGCCTGTGAGCCATGGAGTCCTGCGAGCAGGGATCGCACTGAGTTTGTTGAAGGGAGAGGGGTGCCACTGAGGGGCCCTAGAGTGTGTCTTCCTTGGTAGCCTAGGGTAGAGGAAGACTCCACGGAAAACATCCTTTTGTGAGGGGGCCTTTTTTTTGCTGGGCTGCAGCCTGGTCACATACACTTTGTCTGGGGGTACCTTTGTCTCCTTCTTGATCTGCTTCTCCTCCTTAAGGCTCTGCTTGGCCTTTCCAGCAAAGAAAGGCACAGACAAGTGTGGTTGGAAGCCAAGAGAGTTGCCCTGCTTTGATGGTGACAGCAGCTCCATCTGGCCCTCCTTTTGTCTCTCATCCTCCTCGTTCTCCTGTGCCCATCTGAGAGATCGACTGTGGATAATCACTTGTTCTCCAATCACTTGTTCTCTATTCTCAAATGCCTGGAACACCTTAGAAGGAGTTACAGAGCTTATGCTGGGCCCACTGTTTGTACCTGTGGGAACAGCCTGTCCCTTCAGGGCTTTCTCTTCATTAATGCTCTTTTGCTTTTGATGGAAGGGATAATAATCCATGTCAGTGCCATAATCCTTTGTAGTTAGGGGCTTCTCTTTCTGTTTCATCCCAGGAAAAACATGGGGATCCAACACGATTGGGCGTTTTCCCTTGCTATCAGAAGGTGGGTCAGTAGGTTCCGGGCTGTCGGCTCCTTCCTCCTCTTCTTCCAAAAAATCTAGAAAGCAATAATTAACAAAGCAGATGACATCTCAGTCATTCAACATGTGTGTCTACTTTCTAGAGACACTTTAGGTGCAAGGAAGGAAGCATTGATGCAGGAGGGGCTGAAAGAAAACCCTGAAGAGGCCTCAAAGCAGAAAGGGATGCAGGGTGAGCATAAAACACTGGTAGGCAAAGGCACTCTGCAGTAAACAGACTGTTACTAGAATTAATAATTGCCACTGCTGTGACTAAAAAAACCTGGGCCATTAAGCCAAGGCTATTTCCCTTCTAGAATTCTCTATGCAATCTGGATTTTTGAGGAATTTGGTCTTAAAGAAAAAGAAAGATTCAAGACCTTATGATTCCACAAACAAATCTGAAAATGCACAGACAGAATACGTTACTTCCTTTGGTACTTGGGGGTGGGGAACATAGACACTTCTCCTTTCTGCAGAGCATCTTAGTCATGTCCTTATCTACAAATTCCCAGTGCCCTCCACAAGCCTACAGTTCTTGCAGTGCCTCCACTCTGCCCTGTCCAGTACATTTTGAAGAAACACAATTGAATATATTAACAAAATGAGTTAATGTTAAATGGGAACGTGTGTGCTACAACCAGTACTGATTTACTTAATTAATTTTAACATGCTCCATGTGAGTGTCTTAGGGACCAAACTAGGAGTTGCGGTAGCACAGATCACCCTAGATCTTCATAAATTTCCACTAAAGAAATCAAGAGAAATAGGATATTCTTCCTATACTAATTATCTGAGCCACATAAATTTACTAAGGAGAGCTCAGGCTACAAGCCAAAGGAATGGTGAAGGACTGTACTGCACACAAGATTTAAATGGGAAAGGTATTGATTGCTTTTTGAAGTAATCACAAGGTTGTTTCCTAGATAAAAAAAATTAAAATGGCTCTGGGCAATGTCTTCTGGCACTGAAGAAGCATTTCAGTGAGCATTTGGAAACCTAGGGGCAGAGCTGTAGGTAGGAGCAGAGATCAATACTTTGCTGAAGATATAAGAATTGCCCCAGAGAATGGGCTGCAAAAAGTAGACTAAAGAGGCATGGGGTTCATTCATATCTATCACTGCAAGCAACCCTTTCCCCCACTAAGTTGCATGTATTTCACTAGGTATACTGAGAAACTGTTTTCAACAAGAGTTGATGGTAGTGGTGGGGAGGTGGGTTTAGAAATCAGAGTCTGTGCTCTGAATAGGTAAATAACTCTCAGTCACAGGGAACAATAGATAATTTGTTAATCTAAATTGCCAGTGCTAAAAGAAAGAGCACTTAAGAAAAGAGCAGGACATCACTCTGTGTGGAACAGATTCAGAGCCAGAGCATCATTGGATGTTCTGCAAACTTTAGGTACTCAGTGTGTGTGTTTTAATTCTTCCTATGTTCCTATTGCTTGCAATTATTCTCCATTTTGTACCAAGTAATCTGTTGCAGAGATCTACAAAAGAGACATGACCCCACAGGATTGGGAATGCAATTCATGCAAATGGAAGGTGCAACAGAGCAGTTTATCAAAACCACCAGGGCTGACAGGGTGCTCACAAAATGGAGAGATCCAAGTGGGCCCCCTCATCCCCAAGCAGAGGAATTCAGATCTTCCGAAAGCCACTTACTCTCAGGATTAAGGAAGAGAAAGGCTCGCTGGTGTGGATCTTCTTCCTCTTCATCCATCTTCATATATTTGTAAAAGCCAAATCTGAAGGGGCAAGTGATGACACATCAGATGCTATTGCACATAAACAGAACTGGCTGCCTGTAGTCAGGGTTGCCAGGTGAAAATAAGGGACACTCTGGCAAGGGAGCGAAGACACTGCAATAGTGCTACCACGGATGGGCATGTCCAGGCATCACCCATGCCCGGCCTCCTGAGAAGGGTGGAGGGGGTCAGATGGGGCCACAGGAGAGAGAGCCCGCTTCACCTGGGTGTCCAGAAGGAAGGACACAGACACTGGAAGGAGGGGAAGAGGGTAAGGCTGACTTCGCCTGGACCTACTTTCTGCAGGAAAGAAGCGCATGCTCTGATCGGTGCATGCAATTGGTGGAAATATGGGCAATCATATCTAAATATGAGACTGTTCCTTAAAATCTGGGATGCTTGGCAATGCTGCCTGTAGTCCTGAACATATGAGGCATCCAGACTACTGTATTTCAGAAGAGGTAGCAAGTAATACTCAAAACAGCAAAGTCCAATAGCAACTTAAGAGATTAGTGAAAACCTGGAAGCATCAGCTTTTGTGGGCCAGAGCTTGCTTTGTTAAATGCACAAAATGGTATCCTATCTGTTCACATGCAGACATATTGATGGATTGAGAGCGTTGTTGAAAATGATCTTCCAGAGCAGAAGCCACAAATTCTGCCTCAGCCATACTAGGCTCTGGATGCATGTGAATGAAATATGTGACACCATAATGTAGAGCAGGGCAAAGGAGGTAAAGCAATAACTCAACCCTGCAATGATGCTATAATGGCAGAGTGCCAAGCTGAAATTTCCACTGGGCTTTGTTGCATTCTGAAGAGCATCAGTATCAAGGGTAGATGGGCAAACATGGCTAAGAAAGAATGAATGTCCAGAAAAGGGTCTTAGAATTACAAATGGAGTTTTGCTTATGTTTAATCTAATCTAAGACATCCCCAAGGGATCTAATTATTTTGCTCAGGGGTAGCTCCTTAGTAGTGTTTCCAAAATGGGCTTCGGCATCTCATCCTCAAATAACAAGATTTGTGTGATGCCATCAACTTGGCTGCTGTCATAAATAGCAGGGGACCTTAGGCCACGTACATGCTTGCGGCATCTATGCACTGAATTTGCAAGGAAAGGACGTTTTCTCCATTCACCCTCAATGCAAGATACTAAGACTTTTACTCTCAAATCTATGGTTCCTGCAATAACTAGATAGATAGCCCTCCTCTTTCACACTTACTTTTCCAGGTAGAGCGGTGACTCTCTGTAGAAGCACTTGTTCTCTGTCTCCATGTGTGTAAGCCGGGTGAAGTCGTTGGGATAAACAAATGAGAGGTAGACCTGTGGGAGGGGCAACCTGGTGAGAAGAGTCACAGCAAGGATATGTATGTTCCCAGTTTCTACAGAGAAGGTGGAGGAGGAGAAGGAAGAGGAAGGGGATGAATTATATTTTATAGGAGTACGTGCTCCTGGGGCACATCCTATGATAAATGATGCTACATTGGGATAGAGCTTCAAGCTCTCTCAACATGCCAAATGCAATAACAATTATGCCTGTCTGTGCATATTTGGAAGCAAGCATCCATTTCAGCATGTTTGGCCTGTCAAAGCCCATGAACCAAGCAAAGGAGGGTTAAACAGGGTTTCAATATTCAGCTGTGTCAATCAACACAGTTCCCTAGCTATCCCTTCTTAACCCCTGTACTTTTCTTCCAACATGAACCAACTTCTTCCCACCATCTTTGCTCCAATGTCAGCTAAAATATCCTAATTTCAGTTAATAACAAGGGTGGCCCTGTCTATTTACATAATACTTCTCTGCATTGAAATTCAGATAAACATGGATGAATGATGATGTCAAATAGAGTGTGATACCTCTCAATGCACAGAAAAGGTGGATCTTGAGCTAATTGGACACTTACAAATTGCAGACCCTGATAGCGGGCAATAGGGAAATCCTTCACCACATAAGTAGGGCTGTAAGCACAGGGCACCAATACATTCTCCACATGGGATGGTTCAATCTGGGGAGCTGAAATAAAATCAGTTTTGTAACAGGAAGACACAGGATCAAACGAAACCACCATCCAGGACACACGTACTTGGGTCCACTTCACTGGCCCCCTGTCTAAATTATCACTATCTTCACTTCTGCACCCCAAGTAAATGCCAGATCCTTTCTCCTGTCACCAAACATCATATGAACATGGATTTCTATTTGCATGGAAATGAACTCCTCATTCTAGCTGCCTGTCATCAAAAGGATAACATCATGCATGATTCAGCATTATTAAATATGTACCAATAAAGTATGCTTTTATTTACCTTATTTTTGATAATAAGGCAGATTCACACCCAGAAGTGTCTTCATTATATGTTGCTAAATCTATGAGGAGTTACTGTTTACAGCAGGGTTCCCCAAACTTTTTAATCAAATGACCAGTTCACGGTCCCTCAGACTGTGGGGGACCAGACTTTAATTGTGTGCAGGTGCATGCGTCAGGTGTGCATACGTTGGCCATGTGCGTGTATGTGTCGCACACCCGGCCGCACACAGACATTCATCACCACACCTGCAACTGCCACTCGCTCGCCCTCACCGCACACCCGTTGCCATCGCATACATGCATTTGCTGCCACCACACACCCACTTCACAGCCACAGCTGCTCGCAATCACTCGCCACACATAAGCATTTACTGCCGCCATTGCATGTGCCATACGTTGGCGTGCCAGCTGTGTGACATGCGTGCGTGCATGGTCGTAGTAGTGGATGGCAGGAAGAAGATCCTGGAGGGCCAGATTCAGCCCATGGGCTTTTGTTTGGGGATCGCTGGTTTACAGAGTAAATTCATTGTTATTCTTGTTGTCATTTTTTCTCACAATATATAGGCTTCATGGTCTTAGTATTTCAAAATATACACAAAATTTTCTGTCTAGCCCATAACCTCTCCGGTCAACTGCCAGGCTACTTTCTGAAAACTGTTCTCCATTCTGATTTTTGCATATCTCTTCTCAGAGCAGAGAGAAGAACTTTTTTGGATGGTGAAGCAATCCACCTTCCCAACCTCAATATGCCAGCTAAGTGGATTTGATCTCCTCCTATTCCATCTGTAATTGAGGACTGATAAGCTAGTGGCTTAGAAGCCGACTAAGTACTTTCCTTGAAGTATTAAAACCTGGAAAGCATTCCCCTGTCTCTGCTCCTCCCTCGCTTTCCCTGGTTGGGGAAAATTACAGAGGAGCACCACAACTGAACTGCAGTTTCAAGCCTAAAGCTCATTTGCACTTGCACAATGGGTCCATCCACACTACCTATTTATAGTGAAGTATTCCACTTCAACTGTCATGGCAACAACCCATGGAAGCCTGTGATTGGCAGTGAAAGGAGAAGAATTTAGAATTCTCAGCCAGAGAAATCTGATACTTCCTTAAACTATAAGCCCCCGGATTCCATAGGATGTCACCATCACAGTTAAAGTGGAATCATACCACTATAATTCTATAGTCTGTCTTCTGAGGGGAGCAGGCTTTGAGGAAGAGGGAGGATCATGGCAGGGTGCTGGTGCTGATAGATCTGTTCCCCTATGTCTGCTATCAAATATGGACATTTCCACTTCTCCAGCTTTTCTCACTCTAAGTAATTTCTACTTACTAAGGAAGAAAATATCACGAGGGTCAGACTTCAGCATATCTGCTCCATGCTCATCCCTCCGTTCACTCCAGAGGTAGCTGCTGGTATAGCTGCCAAGCGACTGAGGCACATGGTCCACCTCATTCATTTTCAGGCTGGACTCATCTGAAGGGGTGGGAAAAAAGAAATTGTGACATATTTAGATAGTTTAAAAATTTTGACTGCCCATTTCAAATAGCCTTGAACCTTTGAGGAGGACGGTGAGGCAGCATGTTCTGAAAATGTTTGGTTAAGCAAAGGATGTGCTTCTTGAGCAACCCCTTAGCATCTCTGGGACATCCTTGTTGCTGCAGTGGACCTCACTTCTTCTCCATTCAACAGTCACTGGTGGTTTTCACATCTCCACTTATTCATGCATTCATACATTCAACTTGTAAGTTGAATCATAGCCCAATGTGACAGAAAACATGGAAGGTTATTGCTATACATGATAATGGCAGCAAAAATTACTTATAGTCAAAGATGAGTCCCCTGCGTGGTGAGAATGGCGGAATATAAATACTGCAAATAAACAAACAAACAAACAAATAAATAAATGAAATGACTCAATGGTTCTGTCATAAGACAATTGGCTTATGAAAGTAAGTGAACTTGCTGAAATGGATAAACTTACAACATTCGTTAAGAGAACTGGGTCTCATTTGTTGTGTTCCCCCAACAAAGATGGGGCCAAATCGCCATCACTGTTTTTTTTGGACTAGAAGTGTTTTATTATGTGGGGAAAGAATGTACCAATGGTTCCTTTTCACTAAATGGTTTTAAAAAACTGAGAGAATATAACTACTACACAGATAATGTAAAGCCCTTAGATTAGCTAATGTGGATTGTTTGTAATTTGTAGTTATTTGTTTTTTGAGGTGTAGGATATAGTAGTACAATTCTAGAAAAAGTATTTTAAAATCTTTTCTTGTTGATGATGTTGTTCTGTTTTTTGTATGTAGGTTTCATTTTAATCTGTCTAAATAAAAATTGAATTACAAAAAAAGAATTATAGTCAAAGTTTTCAAAGCAATGAATTTAAACATAGACAAAACACAATAAAATTAGTAAAAAGACGTGAATAAAAACTAAGCACATCAATATACAGTATAAAATAAAAGAGACTAAATGATCAAAAATCATACTAAAAAGAGTAAAACTAATCCATGGTAATAAAACATAGCCCTGTGTCACATCTCTAAAACAAATATGTGTAGTGGAAGATATAGCAAGGACTAAAAGCACCACGACTCCAGCAAAAAGTGAAAAAAAACATGTATTTAAAAAAATTGATTATCTGTGATAACACCTCTCTAGGAATCTCTAGATTCTCCAGCAAAGCAGTATGGTCAATTTCTGTCTGCTGTTGACCAGGGAATTGCACTGGAGGATCAAGAGCAGTGGTTCCCAACCTTTGGGCCTCCGGGTGTTTTGGACTTCATCTCCTACAGTTCCTAACACCTCTTTAGCAATCTGGCTGGGATTTCTGGGAGTTGAAGTACAAAACACCTGGAGGTCCAAGGTTGGGAACCACTGATCTAGAGATTCCTAGATTTTAATCAAACCCACGAAAAATCACATCCACAAATGTGAAAGGTTAACTGATCTAGATGATGGATAGGATGGTTAATAAGGCAACATCTTGTAGTACCCCAAATCATAAGTCCAAGAGACTGAAGAAAAACAAATCCTTCAACACCACCTTCTGAAAATGGTTGTCTAGTTCAGAGTGGAATTATTGTAAAATTGTCCTGCAGGAAAAGAGATTCCACCTAAACACTAGGAAGAACTTCCCGAAGATCCATTTGACAGTAGAGTCTCCTTCTTTGGAGGTTTTTAAAGCAGGGTTTGGATTGCCATCTGTCAATAGTACTTTAGTTATATTTTCCTCCATGGTAGAGGGTAGGGCTGGGTGGCCGTTGAGATCTCTTCTATGATTTTATGATTCTCATCTGAGTTAGGCTATGATTTCACATGTGACTGAAATGGACTCAGAAAATAAGTGACATTCAAGAATGCTTAGACCTGACTGACCACCATATAGTTGGTTACCTTGCCTGAACACATCTTACACACTTGCCTGTATCTGTCAAAATGATTCAGGTCCAATGATAATAATCCTGTCCCCAGGGGTGGCCCATACTACTGGATCTTCTAAGGGACTGAAATTACTCTCTCTTTCTCTAAGAGGAGTTAATAGGATTTAGGGACCAACTGTTTATCCCTTCTCTGATAGATGTAGTGAAGTCATAGGAGACACAAAAGTTGAGCAAGTAAGTGGTTGAGTAAACCTGGACATCTACTTGTCCATTATCTTGGGATTTAAAAGCAGGAGGCCATCCCACAATATTCAACTGAAAGATGTCCTGGAAACCTTCCTGGGCTGAACTGCATGAATTGTAAAGCCTATAACATGACAGTCAGAAACCACTTTGTCCTCAATACATTTAGTGACAATTTGTACCACTATCCTGAAGGTTGTATGTGATCTCCTATTAGGCTGGACCCAATAGGCCTTGAGATGTTCACAAGAGGAATCTCAACAGGTTCTCCACTGCCCAGATTCCTTATTAATATCTTACTCTGGCAGATATTTTTTATTGTGAACATCAGATGAGTTTTGTAGCCCCATCAGAGGTGCCACAGATACCCTTCAAGCATGGATTCCAGAAATAGTGCAGAAGCTTTACTTAACCTCCCAGGCTTTCTTATGCTTCATCCTGCAGCCTCCACTCCCTAAGAGAATACAGCTCCCAGCTGTGGCTCTTATGCTACCACATGATCTTTATTGCAAGCAACAATCAAAGCAGCTAAAACGCTTGGCAGATCACAGATCTCCACCAGATGCCTCACATGCTGGCTCTCGCTTGGGCTGATTCACCCACTTAGAAAAACTCCACTAGGGTTACTCTGAAAATATTTGATCCACTGAACAAACAGAAAACAAAGCAAGAAATAATTTCTCCTGGGATGAAAGTGCTCACAAAGACAAAGCGCAACTCTGCTGCCTCCCCTCCAAATCCTGCAGCGCTGCCAGAAACGACATCATCGGTGTCTGGGAGGAACAAAATGCCATATCAATTAAGTGCTGGCTGCCTCTAATGTCATGTTTATTAGATGAGGCTGTCTGTTTTCACAGATCAGTGCAAGGTAACTGAAGCAAGGCAAATAGAGAAGTGCACAAAATTAGAAGGGCTGCTGTCCATTACTATCTGCTCATTTGGTTTCCCAATCAGTCCTAATAAAGGGGAGGGAGAACAGAGCATTTGAGATGGCACAGCCAGAGCACAGAAAATCGACCTGACCAAAATCTCCACAATTTTAATGATAATGAATGGCTGAGATACAGCACTCAAGAGGAACCTCCTAATGAGTCCTACAATTACATGGGCACAGTTTTGTAACTACATACAGCTTGCAGTTGTACTATGGGAAGGAGGTATCTAATCCTAACCCATCCAAGTTATTTTAGAGGGACTAGGCTTAAAATTAGTAAAATAAGAGGTCTACAGAGCCACCAGAGTACTAGCACAGATCAAATGATTGCTTAAATAAATAGAAAATCTTGCTATACTGAGATGGTAATAACGACAGAACACATGCTGTGAATTAAGAGAACCAGAATTTCCCTAAGAGGGATATTAAGCTAATTAACAAGGAGTTTAGTTAATTTTAAAAATGCAGCTCTTAATACACATCTAGATTATAATTCTTGTGGCACTTCAGTTTTTTAACACAGAGACACCACCTCATTTGTGCACTAGCTGTCCCTGGCAAGGTCCTAGGAAAGAAAGCAAGCTAATTGACACATAAATGGTGCTGATCCCTGACTCACTGAAAAAAATGTCAATCCCTCGCATCAGATAGACCCAGATCCACAGATCTATGGGGTATCAGTGGACACTCTTGAATATTTATTTATATATTTACTGTCTTTATATACTGCCTTCTCACTCCTGGGGGGGCTTATGGCAGTTTACAACATACTAATAGTAAAAATTCAGTGCCAACATACAGTACACAAAGAAATCATAATAACTACTTACTACATATAACTATGAACTTAAAATCAATTAAAATCATTGCACAGTAGACATATATACAATTTAAACATTCAGACAAGCATAACATCATTCAAGTATAAGTGTTAAAATCCCATGATCCAGAAATCGTATACCATAGCCATTCCGAATTGTCATTACATATGTTCCTTAATTATTCTTTGTATTGCATTATTTACTAGCCAAAGGCTTGATCCCACAACCACATTGCGTTCTCTTTCTAAAGGTCAGGAGCAAGGGCACTGATCTAATTTCACTGGGGAGGGAGTTCCAGAGCCAAGGAGCCACCACTGAGAAGGCCCTCTCATTCCTGCCAACCACACTTGCAACAGAGGCAGGACCAAGATAGGGCCTTCCCAGATGATCTTAACCTCTGTGATGGTTCCTAGAGGGAAATACGTTCAAACAGGTAAGCTGGGCTAGAACTGAATAATATGGAATATGGTGTGTGGTAAGAGGAAAAGGTGATGGAAACTTACAGATTGTCTAAAATATGGATTGAACCCTAAAATAAGATAAAAGGAAGCTTTGTTTCAGTTAACTCCCTTACATTTTCTTGGATTCTTTTCTTCTGGATGTTTTTTACCTTTAAAAATATGAAAAAGGAATGAGTTATGGGGAAGATGGAGAGCATAGGATTTCTGTTAAGATTGATTGCGGGAGAAATTAAGCCTCTTTGATAAGGGGCAGCCTTTGGTATATAAAAAACAAAAACATAAAAAGCCTTATTACTGCCTTGCTAACCCCACCTTCCTGCCTCTGTATGCCTTATCTAGACCATGCATGTTTACCCACTTTAATTAATATTTTTCCATAATTGCATAATTACAGCAAAATGATAAAACAAAAATAAAAAAGAAATATAAAAGAACCAACCAGTCCATACTTCAGGAAATAAAACCCAACTGCTCATTGGAGGGAAGGATATTAGAGGCAAAGATGAAGTACTTTGGCCACATCGTAAGAAGACAGGAAAGCTTGGAGAAGACAATGATGCTGGGGAAAATGGAAGAGAAAAGGCAGGGGGACCAAGGGCAAGATGGATGGATGGTATCTTTGAAGTGA